CGGTAACGTATAAAAATGTCAAATTTAATGTGTGGGATGTGGATGGTCATGGTAAGATTAGTCCATTTTGGCGGCATTTTAACACAGCTGAAGCGAAGTACAAAAAAATGTATCTTTTATAAATGAAAAATTAAACATTTTTTTTTTACTTATGTTTTAGGCACCCAAGACCGATTGAGAAGATAATCTACAACAAAAGAGTGTTTAATCCAAAAAGATGTTTTGGTACTATAAATGAAGATGACGTACCGCCGGAAATAAAGGGAATTAATTAGAATTGAATGAATAAAATACTTAAAAATCTTTGAGCATTTTAGTAAACTAAGTTCTAGTTTTACGGTGCTGTTATTCATTTATTATCATTTAACAGAATTGGTACAGTGCTTTTCCACCATTTATTCATTTAGCAGAATTGGTGGCTTTTCACCATTTATTCTTTCCTAATTTATTTTAATTATTCAATAAATGAAACAACCTTACACAAACAACCGACCAACGTCATTTACAAATGACTTTTCGAGTTCTTTCTTTGATAGATTTTTATAAAGTCTTTCACTGATGCTCTGAACCGAAAGTTGTCTAAAAAATCCTACTCTCCTAATCGTTGGTGGAACACCGCATGCAATCGATTCTTCGTCAAAGTTAGACTCGCTCTAAACAAATGCAAAAGATCTCCTTGTAGTATCTATTTCAAATTTTTGGCCGGTATTAGAAAAAAAATATATACTTATATTTTCAGACTAGAAAAGCGTAAAGATTGGAAAAAATTTCGTGAAAATGTCAATAGTGACATGTCAACCTTAGACCTTTGGCGTACTCTCAGAATTTTTGGAGGTATCACTTCCTCCCGTTGTTCCATTCGCTCACAACTCTTAAACTAGTTCTATGACAAACTTGCTAGGCCTTCTTGTCCTCCGTTTCGCTCGATGAGGAACCTGACAATTTTTTCTTAAACGACATATCTCTCTCCGAGCTCGATGAAGTTATTAATCTCTCAAAAGACCCGGCTCCGGGCTTAGATGGTATTCGTAACAATCACCTTAGAATCTTAAATACTGAAAGTAGATTAATCTAAAAGAATTTTCAAATCTTCACTGTAAGAAAAAAGAATAACTCGCCAGTTAATCTTACTTCCTACAGAGATATTGCTTTAGTTTTCATCCTTAAAAAATTTTTTGAGAAAGTGTTATACTCACGTCTTGAATGGTATCTTGAGTCCAACATATCTTCAACAATCTTCAATTTGGTTTCGCACATTACAGATCCGCCTAAGACGTCATTTTGCGGTCAGCAATAAGTTCGGCGTTTGCTAAGAACCACATTCTCATCGCCTGCTTTCTGAACATGACCTCAGTGTTTGATTCTGTCAATATCAACATCTTAAAACCTATCCTTTCCTCTTTAAAAATCTCCACCAAATTCTGTAATTTGTTGTATAACCTCTTTCTCTATAAGAATATGTTAATTAACAATGATGATATTTTTGTACAAAGAACATCTTTTTTAGAACATCTTAAAACATCTCAATCCTGCTCTATACTGACAATCTTATCAATTTTTAGTTCAAACTCTGATCCAACTCTGATTTGTGTAGGCGCAATTTACAATCTGCCCTCAACATTGTTTTCTTTCGTCTTGAATTATTTTAGGTTACACTTTCACTCAATAAGATTAAATGCTTAGTCTTTTCAAAAAATCAGAAGAGATTCCATGGTCACTCCTTTGCTCATCTATGCTTCTTCTGTTCAATTTGTTAAAACATTTGACTTTTTAGGCTTTGTTTTACACTCGAAACTTTCCCCAAGAGCTTACATTGACAAAACCGCCAATGTTTTAATGTATTGAAATCCATTTGTGGTATTTCTTGGTGCTCCGATCCTTCTTGGCTGATTAAAATGTTACCACTTCTGTTCGCCACTTCGCAATTTGAGTATATATGACATTCGTGACCACACCATCCTTGAGATTTAGCATTCTCGCAGTTTGACACCTTGCGCCGCAGTATTTTCTCTTTTTCAACCATTCAATAAAACATATAAGCTTTTAATGTCAATTTATGAAACTATTCTCTTTTACACTTTCTTACTCTCACACCCATCAATTCGTTTATATAATTTTTTATATTCATATACCACATTACATCTTACACATCGGAATTTACTCCTCGCTCTTTTATTCTATCCTACGTGACAAGCGACTAATATGCGTATTTTAATAAATAACAATAACATTGCGGACGTATAACATGCAAAACTAACAAAATTTTTAATCAAATAAACGCTAAAATTAATAAATAATTACGTCGCCCCAACTTTACTACTGCCTAAACAAAGAATTCTGTGTACATAATGGGCCTTTTTTACAAATGCTAGCCAATTTTCGGTTAATTTGCTGAATAACAGAAGAAGAAGACAAACATACGGGTACTCCCGGTCTGTTAAATTTAGTATTTGTTCTAATCTGTACACCACCTATTGATTCTACAGCTGTTTCTATTTCTAATGTATATACCACCCATTCATTTGTAAACATTCATACAGGTTTTTATTTCTAATCTGTATACCACCCAATGATTCTACAGCTGTTTTTATTTCTAATCTGTATATCATCCATTGATTTATAAACATTCATACAGGTGTTTTTACATACCACCCATTGAACATTCCTATTTGTGACTGAATAGGTTTGTTTGAAATAGTCTTCATTCTATTTTCTTATTAATTCTGTAGAGATATGTTGTGCTTTCAAGCAATTATACCGTTCGGGGACTTTTTATAAAAAGAACATTTGTTTTCCATTTTTTATATCACATATAGTTTATACCATATCGTAGTTTTAGAAATCTTCTACAAATTGTACACAATATGCCGAGCCATTACTTTGTAGAAAACAGCAGTTTACAAATCGTATGAACTTAAAAACATGAAAACTGATGTTTCTTATTTCTATATGTGCTTATCTATATATAACATTTTTAATATATCTGCTTATGTTCAAAATCTTAAAACTCGAATAAAATTAAGCTAAACGTGGAAGGTTAGATGAAATATGAGTTTATCTAAAATTGTTGAGATAGAGGGTTTTTTCTTTTTTGCTCTAAACGTTGCACATATATGTGTATCTACGATCTATATATTTAGATGCGTCTGTTTTTTAGTAATGTTTTAGCAGGCAATCATATGTACATATTGCTAATTGTGCTTTTTTCTCCTGAACCGCGCACCTATTTTTCCAAAAACATATTTATTAGTAGCCTTGTTTTACTAAACTTAACTTAAAATATTTTCTTAGACGTTCTTTCCTAAACATATTATGTCATGTTATGTATGTTATGTTTGGACGTAAAGTTTTCCTTTTTGTTTCTCTTAGAATGTCTCTGCTCTTAAGAATATTTCCTGACCAAATAAAATTTCATTTTGCATCTAAAAGTAAAAAAAGTCCTTACATACTTCGATTTTTTTTTGCAAATCATAAAAATAAAATTAACTGATTTAAGAACTGTTCAAATGATTAGAGAGAATGTAGAATGTCAAAATATCAACAAACGTATATATAAAAAGTATTAATCATTATTCAATGTAAACCAATATTTTAGGCTACTTCACTTGGTTTTTACTCATCTTCAACCTCTGTAATTATTTCATTTTTAATTGAAGTCTCTTTCTTCATCAACAGTTGATTGTAATGCTGTAGTAAAAATAAAAATTACATTAATATTATATTAATATTGTTGTTATGCACTATGAACAATATGGTTTCTCTCTAAATATTTTTAACTGAGATTCTACCTATTATTGACTGATTATTTTTAATAGAGATTCTGCTTATTATTATCAAAGAATCCTGAAAATGGATTCAATTTGATGGGCAACTCTAGACGTTTAACAGAAAACTATGAACACATGAATTACGTTATTCTTCTTCATGACAAAGTTCAAATACGGTAAAAAATTGAAAAACAACAACAAGAAGAAAAGCACCAAAATAGGTGAGAAGACATATTGAAGAGTAATAAAAAGAGGTGCAGTAATCACAAATGTTGTTGACGGGTTAGATTGTAAACGACGATTGGTTTCACAGAAAATTGAAAATTTTATTTATGCTGCGTTTGTTTTTGATTTCGAATAAATCGGATAATCACCCAAAACAAATAAAAATATTACTGCGAATGATTTGTCGCTAATATCATGATGGAATGCTGGGCCTTTGATGATTAGTTTGTGCGAATGGTACTTTTGTAAGTTTGCTCCTCATCGGAAGCATCTAGCAAAAGCCATGGCGAATAAAACCGTTTTGGATAATTGAATTAATTTCCATCTTCTGGCGTTCAAGATATTGTTCTTTGTTAGTTATAAATTTATTTTAAGACAGCATGTGGCGAACAATTTTTATCATTTTCATTGCAATGGACTTAACACGAAAGGAAAGATTCAGAATGTTCGAAATGCTGACCGCACTTGCTATTATATGTGTTACTTGACAGTCAATAAAATACTGGATGATTGCCATCCTTCTTTCCTTAAAGTTAAATTAAATAGCAGAATATTTACATTTTTTTATAAACTACTTACGTCTTGATTTAATATACGTATAATACGATGTTGTACTTTGGGAGCTAATTGACAGCTGGCTTGTTCTAAATCGTCCAGGGAAGCTCGCCTTAACGTCTGTAAATTAAACTCATACACATGTTCTTCCATTTTATAAATGACTGACTGCACTCTTACTCTATTGTTAGATGTACTTGCTAAGTCTGTAGATTTAACCTGCTGATGGCCTACGGATAGCTTACGTATTGGCGATGGGCCATCCAAATCAAGATTATCTAACATTTGTACCATGCTATGCCGTCGGGATAATGCTACTAACGACTGTCGATGTTTAGTGTGGTGACCACTTTTCCCGGTGCGCATATTAATCGCTTTGAAATGATTCTGTACTGTTAAACCCAATTCCGGACATGAATCGTCATCCATCTAAAATAAAAAAAGATTTTACTCGATCCAAACGGTCAAGCGAAAAGGTCTTACCAACACTTTCGCTTCCTTAAACATGGTAAAACCATCACAGCCATTATAGAGATAGCTCTTAATACAAGCTTTGTATGTTTGTTCCATGTTCAGGTACTCGTCACCTATTTGTATTAACTGAGGGTCAACCCTGTGACCTGTAGGTTTGCTTGGATCAAATGCAAAAGTTACTCCAGATACTTGAGGAAAGCGTCCCTCTAATTTGGGGTAACCAGATACAGCATTTTCCAAAGATTCATGCAGACAGCGGCCCGTTATTTCAATCAACACTAAAGGATCGCGCATGGGTATTATGTTCACTAAATCTCGCATAGTAAAAGGTCCAGCTGGATGTATTTGATCGGAACGAAAGGTGCCCGAATTTATAATAACGATATCAGCTCCGGTGGCAGCTAATACGACGTCACACACCCAATCACCCAAATTGGTTTCCTGCGTACGTACAGCCGCAAAGCGCCCGTCTAGTTCTACAGTGAAAGTACCCAATATTTCAGTCATTTTGACTTCTATAAGATCGGAGTATTTAGCCAATTCATCCTTGAGTTCGGTATCTTCCGGAAATTCGGATGTGACATCTACGGCTTCCACATCTACTGTGATTTTTCCTTTGTCGTTTCTTTTAGGAAGCAGTGTTATTTTTGAAAATTGCTTAAAATCTGTGCCTGATTTAATGATTTTGACGCCATTAACTTCTTTGGTTTCATATACGTGATCGTGACCGCCCAAAATCAAGTCAATATTTGGGCAATTTTCAGCTAAATTGATGTCATTGGGAGTTCGCATATGAGTGAGAGCTATTATAAGTTCACATCCTTCATTACGCAATTCGGCAGCTAATTTAATACCAGCGTCCACGTAGTCTATAAATGTAACTTCTTTCGGATCGATCGTAGGCAATGTTTCCAGCCATTCTTTTTCCACCAAGCCAATTAAACCAATCGATATGTGATTATGAAAAATGAAATGCGAGATTTTACCACCACCAAGCGGTCGGCCTGTTTCGTTATCCACAACATTTGACATTAACCAGGGAAAATTGGTCTGTTTTATTAAGTCAACAAGCACATCCAACCCGTGGTCAAAATCATGGTTGCCAAATACTGCGCAATGTGTACCCAAAGCGTTCAATACGGGAATCATTTGTTCACCCTGTGTAAACGTACTTACTATGAAAGAAAGTAGAATTGGAAACTTGGCAAATGGTTAATATTTCATAGTGTTTCGCTTACACATGCTAGGTGAAAATATGTCGCCGCTAAACAAAACCAAAGGATTTTCATCTTTAAATGTTTTCATAGCTGTACAAAACCTTGCTGCCCCTCCAATAGGTTCCACTTCAGTGGTAGTGTCGACATTATAAACATCATTATAATGTAATATTGTCAAGGGCTTATTATATGATTCCATTTTCATTAGAATTCTCGATTTTTCTAATTGTGATATAACTGACACAGAGCGATGATAGTCAGCTACGAAATTATCTATATCACGGCTTCTGGCTCGGGGACTCTGTGGGTGACTTCGTGAGTGTGAGTGATGTCGTCGTCCGGGATTTTCATGTGATTTCAATTCTGATTGATCCTCGAATGAGACTAAAGTTGCTTGTTCATTCAAATCGAACTCATGCGATAGGAAGTTCGGATCTGAATTTTTTATCTGGGTGGCTGCCCGCTTTCCAGCTTCGCGTATCTCTATGGATGCCTACAATAAAGAAATGATTAAGACTTTTGTTAAAAAAAAAATGGAAGCGGGCGTGCACGTAATCTAAACAATCATTAAGTATTGAAACGAAAAAATTTGTCCACGCAAAAATAAAGACCCTATCTATTTAGTTTAATAAATTATGGAAGCAAAAAGCGGAAAACAATACTTCGAGTTTCCCCAATTTATAATTAAATATATTACTAACTGAAATTATAATAATAAATGAAAATATTATAGAATGAGTAAGCAACCCAAAAGAGAGAAAAGAGAAATCTTAAAGTAAAACGTTTTACAACACTGACAGATATAATATTTGAGCTTAAACCTGTTTCAACCATCCAACAACATTACGCAGTCCTTTAGTAACTTCGATTGATTCATGTGCTGTTGCCGGACTATTTTCAATAATTTCAACCAGTTTTTTACGCATTCCCGTGTGTGAAGTTGTTATGCCAGCCATGGTTATATTGCTGTATTGAAATTTTTGAAAGTTTTTGAGAGAAACATAAATGAAAAGAAAAATAAATGAAAAGAAAACATTCAATCATCATAAACTTGAACACTGCAGCATACATAAATAATTTTCAAAGAAGACTTGTAACGTCCGCGAACAAAGGCAGGGAGGGGGTCTGTCGGTCTGCTTTTGCCACGAGTGTAGTAATAACGGCATCCCGTTATGCAAAATCGCGTGATCACAAGAATAGCGGCTTGCCGCTATGCGAGAAGAAGAAAAAAAAGAGCAGAAAAAAGAAGGATAGGAGAGTTTTGCAGTCAGTCAGTTTATGATCTTAAGGAGAGAAAGTCGAGTGGTAGTGGCCGAAGTACATTTGTTTTAAAAGGGGATTTTGCTAATGAATACTAATTTGTTAACATTGCAAAATAAAAAGAATTCAAGGCCTGCTAGTTAAACATACACAAATATTACTATGGATATGAACAAATTTTTATATAAATAATCGCGTCAATACCAAAGTATTGATAAGCAAAATTTAACTAAAAAGTAGAAACATCAGAAAGCTAAAGAAACGCATTAAGGTGACGTTAAAAAATATTGGCGTGCACTAGAGAAAACTTTTAAAAAGAAAGAAAAATTTAAAGATTTCCTACCTTTTTTGTTTGAATGAAAAAATAAACAAATGAAAACTAGTAAATGTTAGGATTGTGAATTTTAACATGGTGCGTTTGGTTTCGCAATCGATAAGCGGTTGTCAGGCGTACCGGTTCAGTTGAAAATACCGTTTTCGGTTGGAATACTTTATAAGAAAAATTTAAAAAGAAAAAATGACATGTGTAGATGTGTGGATGTAATTGCAAATATTAGATGGCTTTTGTACCATTATTCAGCCATCAAATGGATTACCTATGTACGTGATGAAAGAAATAAATAATACGTATATTTATATAGAGACATATAAATAAGTTAAATATACATACACTTATGTACAACCAACAGCAAAAAGTGAACCTTTTGTTCTACATAAAGAGGCTCTTATAGCATTAACGAGAAACAAAACAAAACTGAAACAAAACAAAAAGCAAATGAATACAAAGACAGTAATTTTATTTCTCTAAATAAATGAAAGAGGTTTTCTGAGCACCTAATGTTGAGAAATGTGAAAAAGTTGCTTTGTAAAATTGTCAAAATTAATAATAAACCAACAAACAGTGAAAATAAGATATTTGCAGTTTTTATTACAACGGTTTGCTAGAAGTACGTATGTAAAAAGGAAAACAAAGGTATCAGTAAAATTGCCAATGAAGTGGATCAAGAAATGAAGAAGTAAAAGATTCCAAAGAAATTAATTCAGTCCTCAATGTGAGAAAATATGAAAATACGTAACGTTCGGGAAAGAGTGTTGATGAATTAATTCTTGAGCAAACGTGGAAAAATTCGGTTTAACCAAAGGATAGTTTTAAAGGAAAAGTTGGAAGTTGTTTAACATTTAATAAAACTGCTTATGCCCACACCAGTTGCCGTGGCTACCACTGAAGAAGGTGCTTAATCGAGAAAGGATTAAATGGCGCAGCGGTTCTGTTCGTTTGGACAAAAGGCGGTAAGGGTGGCGCTGCCACGAGATAAGAAAATCATTTTGCTACGGCATCTCGTCCTAGGTATTCTTAGGTAAGAATTAATTTAAGTCCAAATGTACACACGCTACCGCTGTAGCGGTAGTACCAGGGGAGGTGCGCGCGTGAGAGGAGGTAGAGAGACTGTAGACAGATGCCGACGGACTAAAGAGAGACCAGCTGTCGAAGTACAGAACAGACAACATAACATACGTGAAGTGTCGATGTATTTATTTGGAATAGTTATATATTTTTTTTTTTGTTACAATGAATAACCATATTTCCATACAGCATTTAATAACTTTCAATTTTAATTGCCCATACAAGTTGGCCGCGTTGTCAAAAAAAAAAGGAACATAAGAATGGCGTCCAACGTGGGGCCCCTTTCTTTTTTATTCCAAACTTTACTAAACGACTGCACACGTCTGCAACGCTGGTGAATGGCGCCCGACGGTAGCCACGGAGCATTTATTTCTTTTATTTCCTTTTATGGTAATTTTCGGTAACGTTGGCCGAATAACTCTACATAATATTGCGCCCAACGACACTCGAACCGGAGAATTCTTTTCAAATCCTTTCGCTTCAAGGGAATTTCCCAGGTAGTAATATCAAATTTTTTTGAATTGTTTTCACTTTCGATATAAGTGGGTCGCTACGTCCAGTGGCGCCCAACGTAAGTCAAACCGGGTGTTTTAATAGTTCTAATTTTTATTTTGAATAAAAGTTGATTGCGTTCCGAATAATAACGCCCAACATAAGTCTCATCACTCTACAGGCTGCAATCCGATAGTTAGCAAGTCTACTTCGCATATGATGTTTAAAAACAATGCACTAACAATGTAGTTTTCCTCTCCTAACAAGGACTTTTTAGATGATTTTCGAAAAAGTTTCACACAGATTGTATCCAACATTTACGCTAATATTCAAGTTCCTTTTTTGCTTGTTAAAATAACTTAACAACTCTAAATTTAGTTGACTACCAATGGTTTTATTCATTTAATGGGAGGATGTGGCAGAAAAGATTTTAGTTATTCATCGCTGTTATTATTATAGCGGCTCGCACTGTCAAACGTCAGTTGCAAAAATTGCGAAGTGCAAAAACTGTGCTTTGAGCGAAACCGGAATTCCGATAGAGTACGTGGAAATGTGCACTACTTTGCGAGCAAGTGTCCGGGCCTAGATCAATACTCCATGAAAACATTAGATGTAAGGTAACCAAAATATCGACAGGATTGGAAGTTACGTGAAACGGACGCACATGTCGTTGATGAGTTAGTTAGTAGATGCTTACATCTAAAAAAATCCACTTGTTTTACGCTTAAAGGAATAAACGGATGGATGAAATCTACCTGCCGAACGGGCGGGTCTTAAGCTCTGGGCCATTTCTAAATATCAATCATGTCTCTGTGCGTGATATTAACAATTCGACTTTCTGCAGGATTATAGTTGTAGCAATTATGACAAACAAATAAAACCGGTGTTACAAGTCTTTAACGGAATATAAGAATAAATGCTAGCTAGTGCTAAAAAAATTGGGTTTGCCAAATTGATCGGAGATGTGGAAATGTGTATTAATAACCAACTGATAGCTATGGCACGTAGGGAGAAAAGTCTGGAATAAAATGAGAAAAAGAGTGAAAAATTTAACAATAATGTATTGATAGCCAAAAATTACAACCCAATTTCGTACATTGTACTTTATACCTTTACGTACAATTACTTGAATTACATATATATATCTTAATTATAATAACCTACTTTCTTTCCAAACGCCAAAAGATTGACTGCGACTCACTTCGCTCTGCTGACAATGTTGCACGCCTGCAAGGATTACAGTGCGTAAATGATTTATTAAATTTGGTAAGATTCTGGATTCATTAATTTGCAACCACCTTTAATTATTAACAGCAAAAGCAAAAAAAGGGTGAAAACTAAGACTTCCCTGGATACAGCCGTAGTTCCGAATCGTATACAGATTTCTAAAATCCGACGCATTGACCACGGTAGGTTAAAGCTAGTAAATTCTTGACCCTCGGGTTACGCCTTCAACTCTAAATTGATTTTCTTGGAATTTACTTGAGTTTCTCTTATCTCTATAAACTATGTCTAATTTCTACTAACAGGGCTATTTGACCTGCTTCTTTATATATAGAAATCAATGGAGGAACCCACAAATAGGCATTTCTGAGTAATGGCAATCTTAACTCACCAAGACCCACAAAGTCTACATTAAGTTGGAATTATAGAGCCAGTATGATGGCAACCTTGATGCATTGGACGAATTCGTTCTGAAGTTCTAGCAATTATTATCTGGGTAAGGCGGAAGAAACAATATAACGAGGCAGTGACATTTCTTAGTTAAAAGTAATCACAACGGACGAAGTATGGCAGAGTGTGGATTGCATCAAGTCTAATGCAGTCGACCTTGACAATATCAGCAATACTGTTTTAAAATCCTAGTGCAATTTTATCATTGACGTTACTTGATAATATAATTCCAACTTTCGGTTTATAAAAAAATTGTGATAATAACTCCTACTGAAACGAAATCGAAGCGATTTTTTCCGAAGACTTTCGCCTTGTCAGCATTCTTCTTGCTTATAGGAACTGATGAATCAGGGTTGCACTCGAATTGTAATTCTGTGCCCTAACGAATCAAAAACGTAGGTTTTTGCTAGGTATTTGCTTTATAGTGAGTTTGAATCGCGGATTCTATTGAATTATGCAAACGCCATTGTTCAATTTTAACCTGCTAATCTACCGCTGCTGCTTCTTTGTAAAAATGCAAATGATGTTTATAGTTTGCGTACTTTATCGGACTCGCTATATTCCATTAAAACTACTTCTTTTAATATTCCTCATACTTACAGTTTCGCATCTTTTCAATGCCGTGATGATCAACCAACCGACCAAATTACAAAAGATGAAGTGCTTCTAAAGAAAGAGGAAAATGCCAAAAATTTATGAGACTTATGAGAAGATGACATATCAAATGAAATAATCAGCTTAGAACAAATGAAAAAGCGTACCAGAAATTAAGTAATATTCAAGAAGCACTTGATTCAATGCCATATGTTTGTTACAAGCCTTGCGAGTACACAAAGTAAATAATTGAGTTTTTAGACCATACTATAGGTCGACGTCTACCTGTGTACTGGTAAGGAAGCAAGTAACTGATTCCCAATCCAAAATGGAATATTCCAAGACGATGTATTGAATTCACAGTGGTCTTGCTAAGAATTGAAAATCCTCAGTAAGCATGTAAATAAGATGAAAAACGAGAAAGAGTACCGGATAAAAGGCAGGGACATCGAACCATTAACGTCTTATTGTACATGGATGAAAGCTATATTCCCCCAACACAGAAAGGATACATGGAATTGTAAGAATGATCTCAGTGAAGACGGAGGCTCACTTCCCTTAAAGAAAGTTCAAAATATTTGGGGTTCCGAAAGGTATGCTGGCGTAGAAAATTAAGGAAAAAATTAGATTCGCATTTGAAGAAAAGTAACGATAAGTGAAATCAAGTTCAACTTAAAATGCAAATGTAACGCTATTAATACTTGGGCTACACTATTGTACGTATACTTCTTTGGGGCAGTGAAATGGAACAGTACGGGCCTAGATGACGCAAAGAGAGAAATAACCACCACCATGTAGAAGTACAACCTACATCACCCACTCAGCGCTAAAGATGCCAACGAACGTGTTAACCAACCAACATATGTTATGTAATTGCACGTAAAAAAAATTTTGACGGACACCATTCGAATGAAGTCGGGAAGAATATAATATAGTATATATCAAGGGTTAATAAGAGGGAAGTGGTTTATTGAGGTGGAAGGATTTAGTTTTGCTGTATAGAATTAAGTAACATGCGTATGATGTTACCAAAAACATGTAATGAGTCAAGAAATAGAAATGGACGAAAATTCAGAAGTGGTACAGCAACGATAGATTACATCACAGTAGCTAGGACACAACCAGGTGTATAAAATAGTGCATCAAGCACTGGCGGAGAAACACAATTTATGAAATACATTTATTTATTTATTCTACTTATACTAGAAACTCAACTAAACAAATAACAGTCGAGTTCAATTGGCTCTTAATGCAAAACTTATATTAATTAATAATAAAATTTAGTATAAGTATAATAAAACAAATAAGAAGAAAAAAAAAAGAAAAGAAAGCATGTACACTATCAGCATAGGGACACACTTACAACCAGTGCAGGACGTAACGATTTTTTAGGATAAAAGCTAATTTAAATACGACATAGGTAAATCGCGCGTATTAAGCAATGTTGCTTTAATGGACTTTAAAGAGTCCGATAACGAGAATAAGTGGTAGACGTCATTTAGTTTCTTGCAAACGACTCTGAGCGGATTGAACAGCTCATAATTAAACTTACACTGACTAAGCTTAACCAAGATAAAGTGCCTGGAGAAGCGATTAGGGACATTAAAGCTTATTTCACCAAGTAATGAAGGCGAGTCAGTGGCACCATTTATTACTTTAATTAGAAAGGAAACGCCAAGAACAAATCTATGTTTCTCAAGAGACGGTAGGGACAGCGGAAGCAACCTATTTTCATACGGAGGAAGAGAGGCAAGCGGATCCCAACCCAAATTTCTAAGGGCAAACAGCAAGAATTGCTTTTGAACAGATTCGATTGAATCTACGTAGCACCTATATAAAGGAGACCACACAACTGAGGCATACTCGAGTATGGGTCTAACCAAACACCTGTACAGCCTTTTCGTAATGTAGGGATCATCAAGGTCTTTGGACCACCTTTTTATAAAACCAAGCGCGGACGTAGCTTTGCTAATCGAGAGCTCAATATGCAAGTTAAAACGTAACCTATGGTCAAATAGAACGCCTAAATCTGTGATCGAATCGACATCCCCCAACTTATGCGAATCTATGAAATACTGAGTAACGAATGACTTTCTTCTTGAGAATGAAAGCTTCTTACATTTACTCAGATTTAGTTTCAGCAGATTCAAAGAGCACCATGCAACAAAATTATCCAAATCACCTTGAAGCTGATGTGATTGCGATTCAACAGAGAAGGAAGAAAACAGTTTCACATCATCAGCATACATTAAGATCTGGCTGGAATTAACCACCGATGGGAGATCGTTAATGTATAAACTAAATAAAATGGGACGTAAGTGACTTCTCATATTGTGCTTTTGTCCGTTAGTCTGCTAATATACATCTGTTGGTCCGTTACGTCATAGTTACATTCCTACGCGCGCAGACATTTATATGATTTATTTCTTACTTGCTGTGGTTATCTATTGCCAATTGACGCAATCTTGTGGTTCCTTGCATTTTATAAATCCTTTTATATGTTTTCTTTCAGATTAACCCCCTTTATTGACACCAATATTTGCTTGTTCTTCTGCTTATGTGTATATCCCAGTTTTTAGAAACTCATTGATTTTAGTTGTAATGTACATTTATTTAGCTTTAAGTTTCATCATAAGAAATTTTTAATACTAGATTCTTGTTAATTACTAATTTTGTTTAGTTGAATTTGAGTGTTAATTCCCACTTTTAATCGTGCGTTTTTATTTAGGCTTAAGTTTTAATTTCCAATAATGTGTTCTCACTTGATGTTGAGTTTTAATGTCAACTTTTTACAATCTTTTCTTTCATTCTTTCTTTCTGATGTTTAAAATTTAAAAAAAAAGTATACGCAAAATCATTTTAATTACAGGACATTTATTCAACCAACTTATACAACCTCATTCACGAATTAACTTAATGTATTCAAATTTAATTTAATTTTTGATAATTATTTTGTCAATTTTATAATAAGCAACACCTCTGAGCACTTTGAGTATTTTCGTTGATCTTCTTTTTCTTTCCCCTCTTGAAGGTAATTTTATCGCCAGACAGACTTCGGACTTTGTTCCCTTTTCATAATTCTCTTTCTAAATAGTTCGACAATGTGAGCGAAGAATTGTGAAAAGAGATCTTAGCTAACGCAAGTTCGTTATTATGAATAACGCTACTTTTTTTGTGAAAAGGAAGGACATATCCGACCGACGGAAATCCCCTTCAGGTATACTCGCGGACGTTACACACTGTAAACTAGTAAATACATAAAAGCTTAAAGATTAGATAGCAAATACAACTTGATTTCGTTTCGTCCTTTATTTCACATTGAAGAATCCTAAATTTTCAAATATATTCGGCACATTAACTTATCTTTTTACAACACAGCCCTGTATTTGCCCACAAATATATTTAAAATATCTTATGGAATTTTCGACATCTCACGTGACTTATTTTACGATGCGTTTTATTTGTTTATTGGTTCCCCAAAATATATGCCAGCCCAACCATTTCTTTAGTTAAGCATACTACATTATGATTATGCCAAATGATTATACAATGAATAAATAAATGAACTTCACATATTAAATTTCACCATTAAGCCCAGTTTGCGTAAGTTTCATTTTTTTATTTCCTCATTCACTTTATCAAAAATTAGGTTTTCGATATCTAACTTATGTTTATTTTCACAATATTCTGCTACGCGTGTTTTGTACTGGTACCGATATATATCAAAAAATTCGTATTTGGGGGTTTGTAAATGTAATCTGCATGCCATATAATTTTTGTGTTGTACGAAAGTTTTGGACAGACTGGCTATAGCAAAGTCTATTTTTTTCCTGAAAGTCGAAAGTTTTTCAAAAACGTTTAGTATCTATTGAAAAATACCGTCGCTGCTGATCCTTTGCTTGCTTCGTTATGGACGTTTCAGAAGGGCCTGCTTCATCATCGCAGTCGTGCTCGTGTACACACTATTTCTTAAAAAAGATGAGCAATTTTCCGAAAAAGAGTAGCAAGCTATCCGGGTTTAATTTTTCGGACAAAATAAAAATAATATTTCCATTTATATTAAAAATATCTCTGGAAGATATCATAGCTATTGTCATTACCAAGCGTTCAATTATTTTCACTATGTTTTTATCATTCGCTATGAGAGCTTTTAACTATTCCTATGCACCCAATAATTTTGATTTCTTTTCATTTATTTTTTCGCAAGAAAACTCGCGAACAAGTTTGTTGTTTAAATTTAAAGCACATAATTCAATGAAAAAATTGCTCAGAATTTTCTTTTCCTTTGTTGTAGAATAATTTGAATAGTAGCAGCAGTAGTCTTGCTCAGATCGGGACTGGTTGCGGAGCACTCGTCGTTTCTATGGCATTGGAAGGCACGAGCCTCAAAAGTTAGGTAAAAATTCAATCTTTACGTTGTGCTTTTGTTGGTTATAGATACTTTTGGTACAGAGCACTATTCATAAGAAAGCTGAACAACTTTTAGTTAATTGCGGTCTGATAGCCTTGCAACGTCCGCTTGTATTTGAAGGTAGGGGTACCGTCGGTCTGCTTCGCCCACTGGTCAATCCCAATAGAGTAGGTAAAACCATAAAAACGGCCTATCGTTATGAAAAAGACTTTATTCATAACTCTCTCCCTCCTCCTCCTAAGTTCGACTATATGATTTGACAATGTTTCGGTTGTTTCTGCTGTCTCGTCATGTAGAGAGGGGATTTGGTTGGACAAAGTGAGGAGTCGGATTGCATTATTCAAACGAAATGATTGGTTCTATGATAATAATAAAAGAAAACGCAAAGAAAATAATACTGAAAGAAAAAAAAGTTTAAAATTTATAGAAAAGTTTAATAAAATATTTTCATAAACAAAATCTAGATATTATAGTTTTTAAATATGTGTCTATCGGATATCAGTGAATTGAAATCGAACGAATAAGAAATGTTTCGTGATGTTGTTGGCGTAAAAACGATCAACACGTCGCTCGTGTACTTGCTTTTGCTTAATTTAGCGTTAAATTATTTATACAGAATACAATAATATAGGAAAAATATGAAACAAAACCAGAAATACAAGAAACTTCTTTAATGTTCGTTCAAAAATTTACACAAAATCCTTTTTACGATGAAGCCATGAAAACCTATTTGGACGGGCATTGCTATGAAAGTAAAATTGGTCTTTCGTAAGAAATACTCTTAAGAAAGTACAGTTAAAATTGAAAAAATTGCAAACTTATTTTCTGTACATTAAATAACAATTTTCAATTTATTATTGTTGAAATTGAAATTTAAGTTTAAATTGCAATATATGAAATTGTTATTATCTTTTAAGTAATTGTTAATATTTATAAAAGGTATGTACAGATGTACATATATATATATGTAAGCATATATAAGTTTTTATATATAATAAGAGTACATTATATATATATATATCATTATTCATATGCGGCCTAGAAGAAAAGAGTTTTTACTTTTTCCACCTTTTTTCGAAAGCACAGAAAAATATGCTCTTTTCGAACCATCCGGAGGCATATCAAGCTAACTGTTATGACAGGGTTTGCTACAAGGAGGACATTCTAGATTATCAATCACGTATATTATGATGCATTCCTTGATTACGTGAAGTGATGAGTAAGGTTCCAAGAACATGATACTTTTGTAATCGCAACGCATGACGTGTCAAGCAATCATTTGCTACCTCTGACTGAGTATCACTATCTCCTGTATGAATGTGTCATACGATATATCATTGATCCTCCGTCTATGATCTATGATAAGCACATAAACTTGCGTGATCTATTGAGAATTTTATATTTTGACTCTCGGACACTCGTCAGACATTTACACCTAAAGGAATAGCACGTACTTACCCTTTAACGAACACACCATCTAATTCAAATCATCCAGATTCCGGCAATGATATGTTCTAGCTGTTGTTATTGTATATTGTAGCGTATTTAATAAAAAAAAACCGAGCAGGGAGAGAATATAATTGTTGTTTGTCGCGTTTTAGATGA